ATTTAGAGACTCTCGCTTGTTTCTTACTTTTCCATGAGATCAATGAAGAGCCAAGAAACATGCACCAACCAGTGACAGATCGTCGAGTATCAGGACACCCTGCCCAATCTGCATCACTATAAGCACTCAATTTAGGAGCAACTCCACTAGGAAAGAATAAACCACGATGAGAGCTTCCCTTCAAGTAACGAATTATACGACGAACTGCTGCCAAGTGAAGGTGGCGAGGAGAGTGCATGAATTGACTTACTTGTTGAACAGCAAACGATATGTCAGGGCGAGTAATAGTCAAGTAATTAAGGCTACCCACGAGTTGACGATACAATAAGGGATCAGGCAACAAATCACCATCATCACGATGATATTTAACATTAACCTCAAGCGGAGTATCCACTGGATTAGCCGATTGGAGACCAGCCATGGAAATTAAATCTGTGGCATACTTGTGTTGATGGAGGAATATACCCTTGGATGTAGAATGAACCTCAAGACCAAGAAAATAATGCAAATTACCAAGATCTTTCATATGAAACGCTGCTTGTAACTGCTGTTTAAGGCTTTGAATGGAAGCATGATCAGAACCAGTAATAATCATATCATCAACATACAGAAGAAGTAGGACAATTCCAGTAGACGTTCTATGAATAAATAGAGAAGAATCATACTGACTCTGAGTAAAGGAGAACCCAAGTAGAGTGGAGCGGAATTTTTCATACCATGCTCTAGGTGCTTGTTTCAAACCGTATAAGGAGCGTTTAAGCTTGCACACACCCTTAGATGATGAAAATAAACCTTGAGGAGGAGTCATATAAATGTCTTCCGCGAGGTCACCATGAAGAAAAGCATTTTTCACATCTAATTGATAAAGAGCCCACCCGTTAGAAGCAGCTATAGAGAGTACCGTACGAACGGATGTCATTTTAGCAACCGGTGCAAATGTCTCATCATAATCAATTCCATATTCCTGCTTGTTTCCTAAGGCAACCAAGCGAGCCTTGAAACGGTTGAGGGACCCATCCGAATTCAATTTCACAGAATACACCCATTTGCAGCCAATGGGTTTGACATCTGGAGGACAAGAGACAATATCCCATGTGAAATTCTCTTGAAGAGCTTGAAGTTCCTCATTCATTGCTTTTATCCAACGTACATCTTTAACAGCCTGTGAATAACAAGTAGGAATAGATATGCCAGAGAGGGTGGCAGTCAGAGAAGTATGTGCTGAATCATACCTGTCTGGTGAATATCTGTCTGGTGCTCGAGATATTCGAACAGAACGTCGTGGTTCAACCGTTACAGGATCAGGTGGCGGTTCAGCGTCGGGAAAGGGTGTGGGAACCTGCTGTTTGTGTTTTCTGACATATACATGACCTGGTTTATAACGCTCTATAGATTGAGGCATAATAGAGAACTTAGGAAGAGTAACAATATCATTCATGACAGGAGAAACGCATGGAAACATAAACTGATTATCAAAAAATGTCACATTCCTAGAAATGCGAAAACGATGGTTAGTGACATCATAACACACAAATCCCTTATGTGAGTGACTATACCCCATAAACGCACATTGAACAGACTGTGCTCCAAGCTTATGTCTTTCAAATGGAGGTAAGTGCACAAAACAAACACATCCAAAAATATGTAAATCATTATAACTAGGCTGAATTTTAAAAAGGCGAAAGAAGGGAGAATCAAAATCAATAACCGTAGAAGGAAGACGATTGATCAAGAATACGGCTGTGGAAAGAGCCTCAACCCAAAATCGGGATGGCACAGAAGCTTGAAGAAGTAATGTGCGTGTTACATCAAGCAAATGACGATTCTTTCGCTCTGCCATCCCGTTTTGTTGAGGGGTATTGGGACAAGACCGTTGAGACAAGATCCCTTTTTGTTGAAGGTATTCCTGAAATGCATGAGACATATACTCACCTCCCGAGTCAGATCGAAAAATTTTAACACTTGCTTGAAATTGATTTTCAACATATGTCAAAAACTTCTGAAACATAGAAAACACTTCAGACTTAGATCTAAGAAAATATATCCAAGTAAAGCGGCTGTAATCATCAATAAATGTGACAAAATATTTATAGTGAGCATGAGATGTTGCAGGAGACATTCCCCACACATCACTATGAATCATCTCAAAACAATTAGAAGCACGATGAGCGCCTGACGGAAAAGGGAGGATTTTACTTTTAGCCAATTTGCAAACAGAACATGAAATAGGAGTAGTACACGCATGTTTATTTCCCAACAAACCAGTTTTAAATAAATGAGACAAAACAACAGAATTTGGATGGCCTAATTTTCTATGCCAATCCTCATAAGAGTTCAAAACAGTATTACATGCAAAGGATAAATGACTAGAACTAAACTGGAGTGGAAACAATCTTCCCACTTTAGGCCCCTTCGCGATCACCTTTCCCGACACCTGCTCCTGCACAAGACAACCAACACGAGAAAAACTAACATTACAATTGTTATCCACCAATTGACCAACCGACAATAAGTTGGAAGCAAGTCCGGGTGATACAAGCACGTCACGAAAGTTTGAGTCTATGTCACCAACATCAGTGATAGAAAGTTTATTACCATCAGCAATTTGAATTTGCTGATTACCATTATAGGAATGTACATTTTGTAAGTATTTAGAGGAACCCGTCATGTGATTGGATGCACCAGAATCAAGAAACCATGATTGAGAATTATTAGAAGACTTACCCTGAATTCCCAAGGCTGAAAGAGCAGAAAGTACCATTTGGTGAATCATTTCAGGTTGTAGAACACTACCGGTACCCGTACTGAGAGGACCAACTTCAGAGTTGGTAGTGGCATGGAATGCTTGAGTTGGACGTTGTACTGGTCGGGGAGGACGTGTGGGACAGTCAGAGATGATATGACCCTGTTGTTTGCAATAGTTGCAAAACTTCTTACTGCAATTGCGAGCTACATGTCCAAATTGTTTGCAAGAAAAACATTGAACTTGTCGCATATCACGACCCTTTCCTCTACTTTGAGCAGCATATGCAATTGCCACAGGTTCGGAACTAACAGCATCATGAGACATGGTTCCTTGCGTAAGTAGACGTTGTTCCTCCCTTAGAAGTTCACCGACACAAGTATCCAAAGAAGGAACAGGATTCCTATTGAGCAAAGCGCCTCTAACAATCTCGAATTCTGGACGAAGTTTCATGAGAAATTGATCTCGCCGACTTGTGTCGTAGACCTCTTGAACAGCAGTGAGAGAGGTTTTGGGAACATTAGCATGTATAATAGCAGAGTGTTCTGTCCAGAGATTCAGAAAACCAGAATAGTATTCTTGAATAGGTAGGTCACCTTGTTTGTAGTTGGCTATGTCTAGCTCCAATTGAAAACGTTTTGCCGAATTGTCCTGGTTGTAAATGCGCTTCAGATAATTCCATATTTCTTGAGCAGTTGAAAAGGAGCGCAAATTATTTATCATCTGAGGATCAATACTATTGAGAATCCAAGTGATGATTTGAGCATCTTGAGTTTCCCATACATCTGAAGCAGTTTTATCCGTCGGGGCCTTAGAAACACCATCTAAGTGACTCCATAATCCCTTTCCTCTAACATACATCTTGAATTGAAATTCCCAAGCCGAATAATTCTTGCCGGTGAAACGAACACAGAAGTTATCTCTTTCTTTTTCGGAAGCCATTGAAATTATGTTGTAATTAGATGATGTATTACTATAATAATAATAATTATTATAATACTTATTATTATTATAATAACAACCTGCAACCAAAAGGAACAAAGCTCGTGCAGTACCACCAATATATCCCAAGAACAGTACCACTCGTGAAGCCGTAACAATTCCAATGTTTCAATTTGGAATTAGCGGCGGAACCAAATTATAACCACAAACCACAAACCAAATTAAAACAAAATTATAACCACGAAAAACAAACCGGTCACGACCTAGAATCAATATTCGTGAAAGGAGGATCGCAAATAACCGAAGTAAGCCGAAGCCCTAAACCCAGAATCACGATGGCAATCGACGCTAAACGAATTCCACGGGGAACGATCAAGAAGCAGAAACGAAGAAACAACAAACTGAATTGATCAGGGTGTTGTCACAGAACCAAGAGAGAAAAAAATCAGAACCAGGAAATCACAGGTTTGATCTACGAGGTTGATACCATGTCAAGAATTCTTGGCTTGATCCTTTTCTCATTATTATTTCTCGTATATATAGAGGTTACAGGGCTATATTGGTAATTACACTAAATAATTACATTTTAATGAGAACAAGTCAATTTCTAATTTGTTTCCTTTATTCTAGGAACAAACCCTTATTCTAGGAACAAACCCTTATTCACATGAGAATGATTGAAAAATCTTCTAACAAGTCCTACATCGCCCAGTAATATATGGTAAAAAAAGAGGGAGATCAAGACTACATACACATATGGTAAAATATGATACAAGTATCCTCATATAGATATTTAGTGAAATAGGTTAAACCATCAGTCTTTTACTACAAAGCTGGGAAGCTTTCTCCTTCCGAAGCAATTCATTCCTAAAGATCTGTGAATTTCTCATGAGCTGTTATTATAGCATAGGGTTATTTTATTAACACTAACATACACAATTCATACATAATAGCCATCTCAGAAAAAGCGTATGCATCATTGCATCAAATCACAGGACTTCCAACAATGATTCTATGAAATTCATCCATATTAATTAAAGCACCCTAGTAGGCTAGTAGTTCACATAAATTTTTCTGTGTAATGATTGTAAGGAAATCCACCAAAAATATAATATTTTACTGACTTTCCTTGCCCCCTGAGGGAAGAATCTGGCTCTGTCCCGATTTCTTTGGATTGGGAAGGTGGACTTTTATTATTTTGATCGCAAGTATTTTACACCCTATGTCTATATTCTTTGTAGTTACATTCTTTGTCCCTTTTCTTTCATAGAAAGATAAAGCTTTCTACTTACCAAATCATAATGAAAATTTACAGTTGCATGAAAGTGAAAAGGAATTCTGGGAAAGCAAATTACACTTCCAAACATGCTCCTTTGTTTTGTGAAATATGGCTTATCTATAAAGGCAGACACATTTGGACAAGAGAGGCTTCTGAAAAACCATGTTCTTTGCCTTCAGGCGTTCAACCTGAAATTGCAGCAACAGAAAGCTTAAGATTTAGATCTTCTCAAAATGGTAAGAACGAATTACCCCAGTCGGAATATCTTCAACCAAATTCTGCTAGAACTACAGTATGTTCTGGAATTAGAAGCTTGAATCTGGGTGAAATCATAGAAACTGGAGCCACTAATTCATCCAAATCGTCCAGTGCTAGCAGTTATTGTTCTCCGCAAAATTCTGTTGGGGTTTATCAAGATGCATATTCAGAGGACATGGAGGAAAGAATTAACAGTCAACTTATTGAAACCGAAAGAGAAGCTGAGGCAGCAACAGATGAGTCCTTTGCAGAACTATTAAACTGCAGGAGGTTGGAAATCGAGGCCATGGAAGCCATACAGAAGGTAAGCATAATCTATATGCTGCACAACTTTTATCAGCAAAGAAGCTTCTGGTCTTTGCATTTGTTTTTGTAGTTTGTCATGAAACATCACCTATGTCAGGTCAAAATTGAAGAAGAGGCAACACTATTAACTTGTTTTCCTAAGCACGCTTGGACTTGTTTAATTGTGTTGTTTGTAAATCATGTGTACATGGTGTTATATGGTTTATCTGTATACATCCATACTAGTACAAGATGATGTTATTGAGTCTGTGTCATGATTGATTTATGAATTTCATAACGTCTCTCCCAACTTAATTATATATTCTCTCTTTAGGTCAAATTGTTTGAATCTGCCCATGCACATGAGGTGGAGCTCAGGAAAGAGGCTGAGGATGCACTTAGAGTTACTGTAACAGAACAGCAAAAGCTCTTAGAAGAGAGTGAAGATATTTCCGGAGAGCTACAAATGACAATGAGAAATGTGGCCCTACTAGATAGTCGTGCTAAGGAAGCAACCCGTCGGCGAGATGAAGCTGCACATGAGCTCTTGCTAATTCAAACATCAATATCAACCTTGTGGCAAGAAAGGCAGCAGATCAGGAGACAGAAAATGGAAGCCCTCCGCTGGTTGGAACGGTGGAAAAGTCGTGGGCAAATCGGAGCAGCACATTACAATGGGGTCATTGGATTTGCCGAAGAACTGCCTGAGTTAGCAGAGTTTTCATTATCTGATATTGAAAATGCTACATGTAATTTTTCCAAGAGCTTTAAAATTGCGCAAGGTGGATTTGGTTGTATATATAAAGGGGAAATGTTGGGTAGAACTGTTGCTATAAAGAAGTTCCATCAACATAACGTGCAAGGACCAGCAGAGTTTCATCGAGAGGTCAGTTTCCTCAATGGTTTTTCTGCTTTTAAAATGTTTTTCTTCAAATAAGTTTTGGATTGCTTGAGAGAATTGGAGGTGGAAACATCATTTTTAGGCCTATGGATTTAAATCTCTTTTTGTTTCTTTCCACACAACAAAAAATGGAAATATGTTCTATTCTCAAGAACGGTCAAATCAAATGTCTCTATTTTTTCTATGCTTGCCTGATTCAGATGATATTATCCTTGTGACCAGGTTCAAATTCTTAGTAGTCTCCAACATCCTCATTTATTGACCTTGCTTGGTGTGTGCCCCGAAGGATGGTCAATTGTATATGAGTATCTCCCGAATGGAACTCTTCAAGACTACCTATTCCGTAAAAGTAACATTATTCCTTTGACATGGAATATTAGAGCACGAATGATTGCCGAAATATCCAGTGCACTCTGCTTCTTACATTCATTTAAACCGGAAGCTATTATCCACGGTGATCTTAAGCCTGAGACTATACTTCTTGATTCTTCACTTAGTTGCAAGATATGTGAATTCAGGTTCAGCAGGCTTGTGACAGAAGAGTCTCACTATAGTGCTAGTTTCCATTTGAGCACGGAGCCAAAGGGTGCTTTCACATATACAGATCCCGAGTTTCAGAGAACTGGGGTACTGACACCCAAGTCTGACACCTACTCATTTGGGCTTATAATTTTGCAACTCCTTACTGGCAGGACTCCAGTTGGATTAGCAGTTCTAGTTCGCCATGCAGTTTCATGTGGAAAATTGTCTTCAATTCTTGATTCTTCATCTGGAGAATGGCCTTTATCTGTAGCATCACGGTTGGCAGAACTGGGTTTGCAATTTTGCGCTCAAAATCGCAGAAACAGGCCAGAGTTAACACCTGCTCTTGTGAGAGAATTGGAACAGTTACATGTTTCAGAAGAGAGACCCGTACCATCGTTTTTCTTATGTCCAATACTTCAGGTATTACATCTTTAACTACCAAAAAACGTTAAGTAAATTTAGTAGCCCCATAAGAGCTGATAAATCACCAAAAATTGATAATTTTTCCCCATCTTTTTGTGCCTAGAATATAGTTATTGTATGCTATGAGGCTCATGTTTTATATTGGCTTCCTTCTTCAGGAAATAATGCATGATCCTCAAATTGCAGCAGATGGATTTACATATGAAGGGGATGCCATACGCGAATGGTTGGAAAATGGACATGATACTTCTCCAATGACTAATTTAAAATTGATTCATTTGCTTCTCACTCCCAATCACTCAATTAGACTTGCCATCCAAGATTGGCTCTGCAAATCATAAAGGTACATTAATTCATTTAGGATAAAGAACTCGTTTTACCCCCTCCCCTGTAAGTTTAGGGATAGTTTCGTTTTAGCCGCAGGACTTCCCTCATTGTAAATCTGTCCTGTATCCAACGATACTTTGCTAAATTGATTTTATCCCAATCCCTACCCTTTAGTTAGTCGCCTTGTCCGAAATTGCCTGCAATACACAATTTAAGTACATACAAAAAATTGTATTTTGTCCACAAATTCCAACCGAGAGAAAGAAAAAAGGAGAATGCCAAAGATGGTCATTGCCTTAGTACCTGTTGTTCTATTAGGACTTAAAATGCTAAGGATTAAAATGAAAATAGTCCTGTCGTCATTTTCCTAAAAGTAGCTATTTATGTGGGTTGTTGCCAGAAAATGTGGAATGTATATGCAATTTTTGCCCTGTTCTTCTGTATTCTTTCCAGCTTCACCATTTTCAAGCATTCTAAGATACAAAGTTGGTTCTTGGTTGTCTTACATGTTTGGAAAATCATTTTATAGAACAGAATTTGTAGAATCTTCTTCAGAGATAGTCTTGACAGAGTTCTATTCTCTGATAATATTAATTCATGCATGAAAATGTATCTGCAATGGAGCTCAAAGATGTGATTTCTGCTTTTTCAGCTAAAACTAATAGAAAGCAAGTTAACAGCATAACGAAAAATGTATATTTGAGTCAAGATTATTTCCCTTTTCGCAAACTTGATGGATATCTCTCCCGGTTTCATATTTTGTGGCTTTAAGTATGAAACATCACAAACAACATTCCAAGATGTCATTAGTTGCAATATGTGTGGGAATAACTGTCTGCAAAAGCATAAATTCAAAATCTCTATTACAACAATACACAATGTATATGGTAGAAGTAATTAGTGTTGTTGATTAAGGATAATTGATAGCCAAACATGGTTTATAAAGCGCCATAGTGCTGCCATCCTTCGAAAATTGACTATGGCAGTTGTAGCTCCAATTGGCCACCACAATCAGCCATGAATATCTCTTTTGCAATTAATCCTCCTGAGACGATAAAAGTTGACAAGTAATGGGGTGTTGTTCAATAACTGGCTTCCTCTTCAAGAACTAATAAACTCTATCCAAGAAAGAAGTCAAAGTCCAATGCCTTGAAGTCTAAAGGCAAGAAGATCATTTCAAAGGAACTTCAATCTCAACAAGAATCATATGAAGAAGAACATTATGACCATTATAAATATTCAAATGACGACCATGATAAACGGTCACTTATGTCAAAAAGGGAAAAAACAGTTTCCTAAGAAAGACTTCAAAAACTCCGAAGATTCTATAGAAAATAAAGAGATTGTATATACGAGACAAATCATATGTTGTGAGTTCAAAGAACTAGAACACTTAAAAAAATGAATGTCCAAAGTATGAAAAGGATAAATCTAAGAAGTACGAAAAGGTTAGTAGAAATAGTAAAAGAGATATTGAATTTCAAGAAAATGAGCAAAGCTAAAATAGTCCATAAACAATACACTTACAGTTGAGAAAGTGCTTGTCGTGATTTTCTTCATGATCTTTGGAGGAGAAAGAAGAGTAGATGCTTGATGAAGGCTTTTTAGCATGAAGATTTCTTATTGGATTCATGATGATAATAGTGACTAGAAGTAGGAACTCACACACAAACAAGAGAAGAAAGAAATTCTATGAATTAATAAAAGAGAGAAGAGAGAGTACCTTTATATTGTTTTTTCTAAAAACGTATTAAATCTGATTTGGACGAGAAAGATCATTGTTGATAAGAGGTATTTGATCCAAAAAAATTGATTCGAAGGAAATTGATATCTCCTCGGTTCTGATTATGGACTGGTTTGCTAAACATTTGTTGAAGATATGAATTCTTAATAGATTGATATCATCTTAATTTACTGAAGATTTGAATGAAATTTACTCTTAATTGATTAGCCATCTTGATTTAATCGATTAACTAGTTGATTTTTTTGGCTTCCTTGATTTGTTTGGATCTTGAGACATTTAACACTATTTTGTTTTCTACACCTCCCCCTACTTTTAGTTTTACACCTCTTTTCTAAAAACATTTCATTTTTCGAAACAAAGTATTAAAGAAAAATAATTATACAGACTTTATCAAATAAATAATTACATATTAGATGAATAATTGGAGTTTTTTGTGTTTATTCCTCTATTAAGTATTTTACCTCAAAACATTAAAGAACTTTCATATTTTCATCCTTTGAAGAGAATGAAATCAAACCAAAGATTTTGCATCTTATGTATTGCTTGATATAAGATTTGATTTAGAACACCATTTTTCATGAATTAGATATCTTCTAAATGACCTTTAAACAAAATACTTTCTAAAGAACTCCTTAATCATCATCTCTTTTCACTTGAATATTTAGACTTATGTGTAAGTAGAGTTGCACTTAAGAGGAGGGTGAATTAGGTACACAATTTTTTTTTCGGTCTTGATGTAAATTTCTTATTTTATTTTTCTAAAAGTTACTAAGTGATGAATGCAGTAAAAGCGGAAAGTAAAGAGACACGATGATATATTATGCTTCCCCTCACAGTCCGAGAGTACTCCAGTCTCCTTTCAACACCAAAGAAAATTTTCAATATTGTTAGATCCTAAGACAAGACTTCTACCTAGTCTTTCTATACAGACTCTAACCAATCAAACACCAAGAACAATCCTCTTGAATTTTTCACTAAGTCCAATGAAAACAATCCTCTCAAAATGGACCTCTTGCTTCCAACAATTCCGGACAACAAGGTTACAACCTTACAAACTTATTTCTAACAATCCTGAAAAAATAAGATGCAATCAAAGAGCAAATAAATTTTGATTTGAGTAAGTTGCAGCAGTCTTCAAATATCAATCTTACGACTGATCTTCTTCTTGAAATATCAACTTTTATATATCAAATACAAGTGTTCAAAGATAGAGGAATGAAACTATGACAAAATAATAAATTTTGAAGTATAATAGTTTCACTCTTGAAAATGAAGAATTTTTTACACTTGTGAAAATTTAGAAATTGAGAGATTAAAATAAAATTTGAACTTTGCAAGAAGTTTAATCTCAAAGTCTGAGATTATGAGGTATATAAATGCCTTTAAACACCTTTTCAAAAGAGTGCAAATGACCAAGAGTTGTCATGGTTCAAGAAGAAATGAGAAAACAAAATTCTGCCAACAAATGCATTTTTCTGCCTCACAGCGCCAGTGGTAATCGGTTACCAGCCTCAACGTTTTAAAATTTTTGAAAGATAACACAGGGTAATCGATTACCAGGAAGTGGTAACCGGTTACTCTGAACAGAATTTGCAAAAACATTTTGAAACAGAGGAAAACATGCATTGTAATGATTTAAAACATTTTCAATATGATATGCAAGAATGATAGATGAAGTTGAACACTTGTACAAGCTATATAGAAGCTGAATGCTGTACCTTCATTTGTGTAAAACTTTGTCTTCATTCTTTACCAAGTCTTGACATATTGATTTGAAATTGAAGTTCTTCAAACTTGATTTCTTTGAGATTCTTTTATCCATCCTTGTATGTTGTAGAGTGTGTCATCATCAAAATCGTTTGAGAATCCATGTGTAATACCCTAATTTTTATCCCTAAGATCCCACATGTCATTTGCATCTCATCCCACAAACAAGATTGCAAGCTTTGATTCTCTTGCCTGTTAGAACACAGATTGATGTTTAATTATATCTCTATGTTTTGATGATAACTCTAATGAAATTTTGTATTAAGAAAATATATACTCTAATTTTGTTCAAGTGTTTTTGTTTCAGATATTAAATTAAATATTATTATGGAAGCAAAAATGCATCTGAACAGTATTCTACGCAAAGCTCTGAAGCATTAGAAGCAAGTGATCAGAAGACTCTGAAGCAGAAGCTGCAGGAGACTCTGAAGCAGAAGCTGCAGAAGCATCTGAAGCGTAGCTGAAGAGTTTGTATGAAGAGTTTAAAGCATTGTTTCAGAAGACTCTGAATGTACTTTACGCTGCAAGTATAGAGGCTCTGATAAACAAGTATGCTCTAATCAGATCACTCACGCTGAACACTGTTGCTGCATCTCTGATATCATTGAATCTGATCTAAAGAACAAGAAGCACATCAGAGGATATGATGTTGTTTACGTTTGAAAAGATGTCATCACGTGAATAGACTTGGTACTATTCTCAAAGTCCTATCCAACGGAACTATTCCTTATTTGTGATAGACACAAGGATTCAGGCAAAAGGCATTTCTCTGAACATTCCACTTCTGAGAAAGAAAAAGTCATATGAAGACAAAAGGCTACAGCTACTCTACTTGCACAGTCTTCAAGCATTGGACTTTCAGCACTATAAAAGGACGTCTTCAACATCTCTTCAAGGTTAACGAATTATTGAAAAACTCATTAAAATTATTCAACAACTCTCATACAATCTTTCTTACTCAAAGCTGAATAGTTTTTATACGTTCTTAATCTAAGTGTAAAAATCACAGTTTGTGATATAGCTTTTTAGAAGCAACTTAAACACTTGTTTAGTTTACATTAATTTGTAAAAGGTTCCTTAAGAAGACCAAGTTGTGGTCAAAATTTCTTGAGAAGACTAAGAGAGTTGTTCTTAATGGTTGACACTGTAATCTGTTTGAATATAGTGGATTAAGTCCTTGTGAAGAAAGGCAAATCACCTTGATAGGGTGGACTGGATTAGTTGAGTTCAACGAACCAGGATAAAAATCTTGTGTTGTTTTTATTGCCATTATTTTTCTAAACCCTTATTCAACCCCCCCCCCCCCCTTCTAAATGTTTTTCTCACCTTCAGTTGGCATCAGAGCTCCGGTTCTGTTAGTGCTCTCACTTCACCCGTGAACAGAAAAGATCCAGTTGAGAAAACTCTTGATATATTTTGGTTGATACATTATGGCTGAAGCTTCAACATCCAATAACAACAGATATAAGGACAAAGATAGAATCAACACTAAACCCCCTATGT